TGCCACCCTATGCAGATGCTCACACACCTGGAGTGAGCTGTGGAGGTCACAGTCCATTTCGGCCTGCAGGATGGACTGCCCCAAGGTCTGGGGCTGCGGGTACAGCAGGGAGGACCGGAAAGCATCACTGGGGAGGCCTTCCTGAGGCACCTGTGAGCCGGCATTGAAGGACAGATGCCATCAGGGAGGTGGCTCTGGGGACAACCACGAGCATCGCAAGAAAGACTGTGCTGGCCTCACTCTGGCATTAGCAGATCATCCAGTAGCTGACCAGGCTCAGAACACGTGTACCCTCCCTCTGAGGCCATGCTGTGTGGAAGTGACCAGGCACCGAGAGGGTCAGTAGGAACAAGTGGCCGCAGGTGGGACCTCACCCCCAACAGAGTGACCAGCAGCCCCTCTTCTCCATGCATCCTCTGGTCTGGAACTCACAGGGAGCCCTGACCCAGGGCTTAATGGGTGGGGGGACATGAATGGGGGAAAGGGGCTCAGCCTGTGTCTTGCTCCCAGGCACATCTGAGCAAGAAGTTCCTAACTCAGGGGACACAGGGGTGGGGTGTTAGGAGATCCTCCCTTACCTCCAAACCGCTGTGATCTGAGCTCCTGGGCCTCTGCTGCCGGGTGGGGCCGGGCCGGGCCGATGGCGGGCTGCTGCGGTACTCCCTCAGCCGCTCCAGGAGGAGGTAATAAATGGCCGCAAAGTGATTATAGCTGCTGTTCTGCAGTGACTGGGAGGGGCAGAGGCAGGGGGGCAAGTAAGAGCCAGGCCAGAGGAGAGAACTGTGGAGCAGTAGGGCCCCTGTGGAACAGCGGGTGGCATCTCGGGACTTCTCAAGTCACTGAGGCCCTGACAAAGCTGTTCCCAGGGTTATTCTTGGGTGGCCCAGAATATCCTTAGAAGAGTGGACAAGCTGGTCTTTAAATTACCCCATGATACCATTTTAACTCAACTAGCAAGTGACTGCTTTCCCTGATAAAGCCACCTCCCCAGAACGAGCACCTCTCCTGTCAAAGGCAAGTGTGGGGAGGGACAGGGCGCTGCTCACCTCCACGGTCCTCTGCCGGTCCACCCCAAGGGTCTGCATGATGCCCAGCACCTGCTCGTCATAGTCGCCCAGGTTAGAGTTGTAGCTGAGTGCAGCGCTGGTGGGGCGCGTGTGCGGCAGGGTGGGGTCGGCCTGCATCCACCGGTGCTGCCGGATCTGGGAGATGCTGATGCGCTTGGCAGGGTCTACCACCAGCATGCGTCGGATCAGCGTCTCACAGTCTGGGAGTCAAGGGAGGCGCAATGAGCCTATGCTCACAGTCCCCGCAGCCCACTAGGTTGCCACCACAGCCCTGCAAGGGACAAGGCTCCCTTCACACAGGCAACTGAACAAGTGACCATTCCAAAGAACACCAAGGCCAGGAGTGCTGGCCTGTGCCATCGGCTCAGACCGACCTCCAAAGAGTCCTCCACTGAGGGATGAGCCTCTGAGGGGGACACAGTCCTCCTAACGTCCCTACAGAGGCCACTTAGTCTCTCCATTCTGCTGTGACCACAAAGCAGTGGGCAGCTGGTCACATCTTTACTGAATAGAGAGGGAAAGCACAAGTGTGGAGCAAGTGAGACCCAGGGGCGCTGGCAGGGACTCCAGAGCCAAGCGTTCAGCCGGATCTCCAGGAGACGCCCTGAGAGGCAGGCACCTGTCTGCCCATAAGTAGGGCACTGAAAACACACCCCGTGGGTTGGGTTTCTCTCGCAGGTAAACACCCTACAGTAACACAGGCCTGACTCACAGACCCAGAAGACAGTCAAGCAGGCATTTCAGGAAATAAATTCCTCCACCTCCGCATCGAAAACTCCCATCCAGGCTCCCCAGCAGCCCCGCAGCACCTGCCCACTTGCCCGCCTGCCCGCCTGCCTGGGAGAAGGCTCGGCACACACCTACCTCGAGACATGAAGAAGGGGATGCGGAACCGGCCCTCGAGCACCCGCTGCCGCAGGGCTGGCAGGCTGGGCCCATCAAAGGGGAGAGACCCACAGACCAGGACGTACAGCACGACACCAAGGCTCTGCAAACAACCGACAGCGGTCAGTGCCAGGCCCCCAACTGGTTAACTCACAACCAGCACTGGCACCCAACACCTGCTGCGCATAGGGCTCCTACCCAGATGTCGAGCTGGGGGCCTTCATACTCCTTCCCCTCAAAGACTTCTGGGGCTGCGTATGGAGGGCTCCCACACCACGTAGACAGAGGCTCTCCCGACTTGTAGAAATTCCCAAATCCGAAGTCTGAGGGACAAAGAAAGAGATAATGAAGTTATGGTAGAAACAGCAGGGCCTCAGTTTCAAAGGCATACGAGCAAAAAGCACCAGGACCTTTGCTTGCAGGTCCCCCTTCTCGCAGGCCAGCACTCCCAGGTGCGGGGTGACCCCCTCCTTACCCGCCAGCTTGATGTCCATGTTGCCATCCAGCAGCAGATTCTCGGTCTTGAGGTCCCGGTGCACGATGTGGTGGCTGTGGCAGTACTCCACGGCCGACAGAATCTGCCAGAACTTCTTCCGTGCCTCATTCTCGCTCAGGTGCCCATTGGAAGTCAAATAATCTGAGGAGCGACAAAACCAAATTACAGCCCCAAATCCACAAGGCTGGCTGCTGTCTGGGCGCGACTGAAGAACGCCGAGGAGTTCTACGGGGGACAAACTCAGACACTGGAGAAGTAGTTTCTGACTAGTGGGCACCTTTGCTCCCAACAAGTGTTAAAAATAAGTGTGGCTTACCAAACATCTCTCCATTTTTTGCAAATTCGGTGACAATGTAAAGCATATCCTTTGTCTCCATAACCTAAAAAGACAAAGACCTAACGTTTAACCACACGAGAAGGGAACACAGGGGTGCTATCAACAACCTACTGAACCCCAGGACACTGTTAACTTCTTGGATGAGTACATTCGTTATTTTCGGAAAGGAAAAAAAAAGCAAACTTCTGCAATAAAGAAACAAAGAAGGGGATTCCTATTTGGAAAGAGTTGTTTCCCAACCAGAGGTGAATTCCTAACTAGCGGCCTATCCCGCCGTATCTTTGCCCTCACTAAGGTCCAGGTGTATTAGAATTCTCCTACATCGTATGCTTAACACGCTTTGCCTCACCCACCTGGGGACTCTGGAGGCTACAGAAGTAAAAGCGATTTTGAGAGTTCTGCTGGCTCTTTCTTCTAGAAGTCAGCAGGCAACAGATTACCAAGCTAATGGCCAGCAGGGCTGAATAATAGATAGCAAACACCCCGCCCCACATGCGCTGGTGACATGATTAACTAGGCCACAAGAAGCCAGCTTCCCCAGGGGGCTGAAGTCTGCTCTGTGTGCAGCAAACTGCTCAGCATGTGTCAACAGCAACAGCCAGTGTCAAGTCGCCCTAAGGTTCCCTTACTGAGCAAGAATTTTATTTCACTTTGAAAAAAATTTTTAAAGAATTTAAAATAACTATGAGACAAGGTAAAATTCAAATCTTTGGTTACGCAAAGTAAAACTCACTCATATCCAGGTGTTTTAACATACTTCAAAGGAAGACAGAGAGATAATACATCCTTACAGAAAAAGATTTCTTCAAGGTTCAAAATACAGTTATTCCTTTAAAAAAGACAACTGCTTTGAGCTGTAAATCTAAAAAGAAAAGCGATGAACACTGTGATGTTCATTTATTAAGAGAGTATTACTTTAAAAAATTGTGCTGGGAAAAAAACAAAGAAAGAAAAGCGAACACCAAGCACTTTAGCTGGAATTTTCGCTGCCCTTGCCCTCGATGTATAACTGAGTGACAAGTAAGTTCATCCCTTTTCTCAATGAAAGAAACTGACAGAGAAAGAACGAAGACTGAATGTGTTTTAAGTTTTAAAAAACCTCAAGGAAAGAGTTTAGTGTCTCACCAAGGTTCTGGGGCTGAGCCAGCTGGATGAAAATCAGATACCAGTGTCAAAACCGGGGGAGGAACAATTGTTGCTGTCCCCAACAGTTAAAGCAGCACACAGAGCATAAGAAAATTCACCCCAGAAGAGACCTAGAACTTGGATCATGTAGTCAAGGCATCGCTAACTGGGCTCCTCCACACGGGGGCCAGTGGGGCACAGGAGGACAGGAGGACAAGGAAGCCGCACTCGGGCTCAGCCCTCCAGCTCAATCAAGATCAGACAGGGGTCAGCCCACTCCTGCGGAAACAGGCCAGGCACATTTCTCAGGCACTGACATCAGTGACCGGGGAGGAAACTTCTCATCAGAAGGCAACTCACAAATGACAACAGAAACAAAGCATGAACCAGAGAGCACCTGACGTGAGTGCTGCACTTAACGACGGTGAGTAAACTGTCATTCTGGAAACACAAGCCCCAATGACTACTTCTACCTTCATTTTAACTGAGTAACGAGCCTTCCGTGGGGTAATTTTCAATTACAGTCCTCTCTCCTGCCCACTGTACACCTAGCCCTGCCAACAGCAAAACACTCACACCACCCTGTATTCATTCCAGACTCTCCGGGCTTCGCAAAAGTCATCAAAAGGAACTTGCAGCCAACACAACTGGATGCAATAGCGAGTATTTGCAAAGAACTTACTCTCTTGCACGAGGCTTTATTTCATCTTTGCAGAAGTGCTCACTTAAGGAAGAGACTGCTCTGCTGTCCTCATTAAACCAGCATGTATTTCCCAAAGATATACTTTATTAGTTTCAACAGGAGAACAAAAATAAAGTCACAAAACAAACCAACAGACGGCCAGTGTGAGGCCCGTTCTTAACATGGATTAAAAGACAAGCTCTTTGCTCTCACCACGGGCAAGTGTTTTCATCTCTCCGTTTTGATGGGAGAGTTTACATGGGGAAGGCAAACGCTCACGGCTGCCTTTGCAAGATAAGTTTATGAAAACGGGTAAGAGCGGCTGGTCTGAAAGTTTAATGATTATCTGCAAAGGCAGAAGTGTCTAGTTTCACTGGAATTTGTCCTTCTACACTAAATGCTTGACCTGTGTCAATACACAGTTCTGGCTGCTTATCTTCAGAGTAAAGTAAAGGCAACAACCTCCCACCTCTATGCGTTTAAAACTGGAATAGGCTGTAATACTAAATAAAATTTTCATGAAGCAAATCTCGATTATGACCACAAAGCAAGAAAACAACCTCACCACTTACAGAAATAAACCTATTTACCTTAAACAACCAACCCAACTCCCACACGTACCCAAAGAGCGGGGCAGCCGTAAGAAACTGCAGGCTTAGGTTGCTGGAAATAAAAACTAACACACCTGCCAGCGGTCACAGCGCAAGGCAAACTCGGGCCCTTACCTGATAGAGCTTTATGATATGGGGGTGATTCAGGAGCTTCATGATCTGAACCTCACGATATATTTTCTCCAAATTGCTTGAATCTAGGCGTGTCTTATCGATGATTTTTATTGCTACCTATAGATTTTTAAAAGAAAAGGGATATTTTGTTTGTTTAAAAGAAAAAAAGAAAACTCTCACTTAACCTAATTCGCACATTTCATTTTTTGCAGGTTAATTTCTAAAACACTTTGTCCCCAAGAGGTCCCAAAAAGTCGGGGAAGGAGGAAAATAACCAAAGTAACCATTAATATTACTTAAAAGAGCCGAAGTGAAATAACTAAGGCTCTGCAGGCTCAGTGCACAGGGCGTTAGATCTGGAAGCGCGAGCGCTGCACTCCGGGGTTACCCGGTCACCCTCCTCTCTGCTGTCCCCTCGTATTTGTACACACGAGGCAGCCATCACATAAAACATTTTTCTTCTTTCCTGGACTAAAACCTGTCAGTGTTTAAGCCCTGGCGCGATGGGCCCCCCAGGCAGCGGTCCCCCACCCCCGGGGGCGGCGGCCCCCCGGGCAGGGTCCACCCGGGGTCGGTGCCACCGCCCCACGCACCTGGGTTTTGGTGACTCGGTGCCGGGCCAGCTTCACCACCGCGAAATTGCCCTTGCCCAGGGTCCGCTCGATATCGTAGAAGCCCACGCGGAGGGGCTTCTGCGGGCCCTGGCTCACGCCCGCCGGGGCCGCGCTGAACTCCGACATGATCACCATGGCTCCGGGCACCTGCGGACGCGGGGGGCGCTCAGCTTCCGCCCGACCCGCGCCC